AATTTTTCAATCAAATAAAACTATTTAACAAAATTTACCTATAAAAAAGAATTTTTTTTATCATCATACATATATATTTTGTTAAATTTTTATATAAAAGCAATGTTTAAAAAATTAAAAATTTCAAATTAAAACAATTAAAAATGAGTATTTTTATGTAATGTAAATAATAATTATAAATTTCTTTTATTAAATAAAACTACTAAAACAATTACACATTAAAAAAAAAGGGTTTTCAATTATTGATTATATTTTATATAAAATTACGCATGAAAAAATAGTGAAGTCAAGATAATTTGAGACAAAAGGAGTGGAATGCGAGTCCAAGAATTTTTGAACCTCCAGTTTTAAAAATAAACCATTCACTTAAGGAAAAGAAAAAAAAAATTAATATCACTAGTTTTCACCATTATAAATTCACACTATATTTGAAATTAGAAATTAAGGAATTTTCAGTCATATGCTTTTGTTTTATTTTTTCAATCATATGCAAAAGTCAAAATTTTATGGCATGAAGTGGACCCGTGTCCATATCCATATCCCATCATTCTGATTGAATTTTAATCGGTCGTTGGGCCAGAATCCCATCATTCTACCCATTGTCTTTCTCAGCATAACTCTTTTTCTTCTGTTTCAATTGAAAACAAAAAGAGAAACCTCTCTAAAACTTAAAAGAGGAATGGTTTACATTGGCTGTCGTTCCACAATGGATCACAGCCTCTGTTTTGGCCACAAATTTCATTCAAAATTCTAACTTGCCTTTCCTGAGATTCTTTTTCCCTTTATTTCACCCCCTTACTTGGCCCCTCTTCACTCACAACAAAATTTATATGAAATATATATATATATATTACTTATTGTAACGAAAAAAAAAAAAAAAATCTATGGTACATTAGTGCTTTTTTTTTTACCAACCAAAAAAAAATTATTAATGAGTACAAAGAGTATCAAACTCTTGTACACTTCCAACTCAATTTTACTACAAATACAAAGTTATTAAAACATTTCTCTAGTAAAATAAGATAGAAGCATAACTTTCGTTTCGTTTGCCTTTTATTATTTTACTATTTTACATACATCCTTCCTTGTAAATGCAAATTTCATGCACTATCTTGCTTCTTGCATCTAGACTCTGAGGGTGAAGTAGCAGCCTCTCATATTTGCTTTAATCCATTGAAGGGACCTAACCCGTACTACATAAAAAATTCCACCCTTCATCCAGCATGCCATTTCTACAAACCAAATTGTCCCTACCAAGCCACAAAAAGTCCAGACCAGGGAGAACCAAACCATTTCCTGCACGTAACTAATACATTAGTACTAATTATTTACATTGTATTTTATACTTTTCTTTAGGGATGTTGGAATGCCATATAGGATATTTAAAATATCCAAATCCAGTAACCAAACACTACTAGAAATCCAATTTTCACCAACAAAGCATTTAGTTAAACTTAATTAATTATATAATAAATTAAGAAAAAAGTACATATTAATAAATTAAAAAAATTAAAGTTTCAACTTTGTTTTATTTAATTAAAACTCAATTCAACATTTAAAAAATTATTTTATTAAATATTGATATATTATAATATATAATGAATTTTTAAATTTAGATATTATCATTTAATAGAATAAGATTTTAATTTTTAGATATAAATTAAAATTGTAATTATTTTTGAAAATTAAAACTAATATACATGAATCTCATAAATTAAAATATCTTTTATATTTTTAATAATTATACTTTGCTTGTATCAATAAAAAAACACATGTTACCATATTAGTACCCGTGATCTGACCAACATTATCGGTCCAAAATTGGTTCTCAACCACAGTCATTGACTGGTCCGGGTCAACCTCAGGGTGTGGTCACAAAATTTGTTGGTCACACCATGAAGAAATATAGGCCCTGAGTCGTAAGAGAAAAAGGCTATCCTAACTTGTTAAAAATGTTATTATTATTTTTTTATTATTAATTTATCAAAAAATAAAAATTAACTTTAATTTTATTATTTGTTCAATTAAAATCATCTATTTGATATTGTTACTAAAATTAATGTTAATTTTTGTATTCTCTTATATAAATTAATAAAAAATATAATAAATACACTTTTAATGCATATGGTAGAAAAACCTAAGGGTACTTTTATCTGATCTAATTCAATAAAAAATCAAACCAAACTAATATATAATAGAGTGAGTTTAAATTATAAAATTTTAAATTTAATATAATTGGTTTAGTTTGTAGTTTTATCTTTAAATTGCTTAACCTGTCCAATTGCAAAATAAAATAAAATTATAAGATAATTTAATTAAATAATATAATATATTTTTTATAATATTTAATTTTTTATTTTAAGATAATAACTCTATTAATTTAATTAAAAAAATAAAAATAAAACAATATTAAATTTAGGGTAACTAATAACTTAGTTAGGTTTATTAAATCAATCTAAAAATAAATATCCATAATTTATATAAATAAAATTTTTTAATTAATAATTAATTTTTAAAAATATTAATTACAATATGAGTTTTTAAATAAATTTAAAAATTTTTTATGAGGAAAACTAGGAAATCACTCTTCCCATGAATAAAATATGTTATAAAAATGGATTTATTGTGATAGAAATGTAATAGTACAGTTGCACTGTCATAATAAAGAGATGGATGAATGACAAATATCCATTTGTTTTTCCCAATAGAGGAATGAAGGTGTGCTGTTACTAGTTTTAAAATGCAGCTGGTTTGCATGAGACTTGGTTTTGATTCTTTAACTCATCTTCAGCCACAAGAAAGAATGCAGTGTGTCTGAGAAAAAACAGGAAAATCTCCACTATCTAACAATTTCTTATAAAAACAACATCCAACCAAATGAAGATCAGGATAAATAATGATTAAAGAGAAAGGAAAAAGAGCCAAGTTAATTCGGAAATTAAAAAAAAAAAAAGGTGGGGAAGTTATGCACCACCTTACAACAAAGCAATTAACGCCAGCTCTACACGACCTTACATCTGAGTATACACGATGAGAAGCTTTACAATGTTGGTGTGAAAAGGGAGTGTAGACGAGGAACTGTAGAAATAAAAAAAAAAAAGGAATAAAACGGAGTTTAAGCAAGTTTAATGGGCTGGTTGGTTAAATGGGCCTTTATTGGATAAAATAGATTAAACCCAACCTTTGGCGGGAAAATTAAATTTTCGAAAACCTGTAGCGCCAGAAGTCAAAAAATCCCTTCCCGCCTGAACCGAAATTCCGAGCAATAAAGAACAATCCAGAAAAACTTAATTCATGCAATCCAAAATTAGTTCCTTCTTTAAACCCTCTTCTTCTTCTTCACCCAGATCCTCAGATCCTCTTCCAGTTCTTGGCGAAGACAGCGATGATGAAATGGCGATCTGGGTCAAGGCGGAACACCTATCCGTCAACACATATTCGCGCAAAGTTAAGAAAATGGATGCGTAAGTTCTATTTCGACTAGTTTTCTACGGAAAATTGATGTAGGTTTTTGCTTCTCATTCCTATGCCAGTCGATCAGACTTGGGTTCTGTTTGGTTACTAAGAAAATTATGAGAAAAGAAGGAAAATTAAGTTGAACCTGGGTTTTATTTGGTTATTTTCCTTCGGGTTTTCCAGAGGAAGTGAAAGTTAACATGGTTGACTTAAGCAACTGAATTGAAATCATTAACTGTTTGGTTTCTAGGAAATAGAAAGGGAAAAAAAACAAAAGAAGTGTCAATTTCCGAGTCTCGTTTTCCTTCATTTTTAATTTTTGGATTTTCCCATCTTTAGGCTTTTGATTGAGGGAAAGGGCAATGAAGCCAGTAAAGAATCAATCAACGATCTACCCAAGAAATCTGTCTCAACAAATGGATTGAAAGCATCTCTAAGAGCAGAATCTCCTCTCCCTGGAAAAGTTCTCAATAAAAAGAGAAGCTATGCACAGTTCCATTTGGAGCTAGGCTAATCTGATTTCCTTCTTCACACATGTTCCTCCTGTGGGCACAAGTATGCTGCCGGGGACTATAGTGATGAAAAAAACCCATAGCATATTTCACAAGAATTACACCCAGGGAATTCAATTCAAGGTAATCACTTGAAGCTAAAGGTGTTTATTTTGTTGTTTATAATGTTTCGTTCTTAAATCAGTAATCACTGGTTAAATTCTACAGGGATGACGCAATGAAAGGGTTATTCATATGTCTAATGGTGAGGGGGACGTGTTATTTTGGTGTCGGACTCTGATCCTGTTGCTCAGAGGAATAAGGTTTGCATTTCGTATTTTTGAAGTCAAATTTACTGGCTTCAGCTGTATAATGCAGTTGATGTTGATGGGGTTGTTTGGGATATGTTGTATTTCCAGTTCCAGGAGGTAGTAATCATGATGGAGATTGAGCTTGGGGAAGGATGGATTTTTCATAAGTTCTGTAAGGTAAGCTGATTCTATTAATGTTACTAACAAGGCAATACAAGGGATGGATGTATGCATTTCAAATTCAAAGCTGTTTCAGGAACTGAAAACTCCTATGGTTGGCTTGAGATGAAGACTGTCTTTCTGGTTGTTGATTTTCTTGTCCAACTGTTTGCAGATGTATCTGTTTGTCTCCGCACAGAGGGTAGTTGGCTGTCTAGTTGCCGAACCCATAGAGGAAGCATTCAGAGTCGTGTCATGCTCAGTCAGTGAAAGATGTAATGGAGTTGAAGCAAAGAAAAGAAGATCAAGCCCAACCACACTCCAGTTTGGAAACATAATCTTGCAAAGAGAATTTGTCAAAAGAGCTCCCCATAATTGCTCTCAATTACCTGATGGTAACCACCATGGAGCAATTATATGTGGGGAAGATGCTGTACCTGCTGCTTGCGGCGTTAGAGCAATCTGGATCACTCCCAGCAACAGAAGAAGAGGCATTGCCACCCAATTGCTTGATGCCATGAGGTCAACTTTCAACCTCTGCTCCCATGTCATACCCTCGACAGAAGAACAGTATTTTGTGCTTTTTCATTTGCCATTTCCAGTTGTTGAATACTCGCCTCTAAAAATGCAGGAAGAGTTTTTGTACGAGCTTTGTTCTTAGCAAATCTCAGCTGGCATTCTCTCAACCAACCTCAGCTGGAAAGGCATTGGTGTTCAACTATATAGACACCAAATCATTCTTGGTGTATCAAGCCAGCAATTGATTTTTAGCGGACTCACACTTTTAGGAAGAAAACAAGATGATTATATATTCCAAAAATGCTTTAGGCAGTCAATTCAGTTGATGAATGGCTGTTTGTTTCCCCCCTCGTTTTTTACCTTCAGTACGATATCAAGCATTTGCTTTCTGAGATTGTAATTAGATCAGTGTTTGAATATCAATAAAAACTATCTTCTATCCTGCGAGAAACCCAATTTATTTTCAGTCATAACTATAAATGTGGGTTGTGGAAATCAAGCTGACACAAATTTAGTCTCACTGATACTGTTAAGGCAAAGAAAAGAATAAGCGAAGACAAGCCAAAGAACTGGGTGGATAAATGGAAGCAACACAAGTATAGCTAAAATATTAACTCAAGAACCCTCAACATATGATGCATCAGGATTTTAAAGTTAAGATGGTATCCTCACCACTTTTGTGCTTGAGCTTGACCCTTTAATTTGCTCCCCATCGACGGTTAAGTTTAATTTTAACTTCACGTGGGAAATTATAAGTCAGCCAATAAGGTGCCTTCACATACAACACCGGAAACCCTTTCAGTGAAATATTTATGAGAATAAACAATTTATATGTCATTCATATCTATTGAAGTGAATATCAAACATGCCTCCGCAAGAAATTGAGCTGAAGGAACACCAGTTTCCTCTCTCAATTCTCTTAGGGCTGCCTTTCTCGGATCTTCACTCTCATCGGCACCACCCTGTTCTACACAATTCTTGTAGTTAAGGACATGCAATTCAAGATGAAGACAACCACCCACTTCCAGAGGATCCAATCATAGACATCAACCATTCCACCCAACACTGTCACAAGTTTTTATCACACAAAATAGCAGCTTCAATCCAGCTCACTCAGAATAAAAGAGACCATTATTATCATCGTAGGATTCATGTATTATAGTTCGGATTACATATTAAGAATATAATTCATCTCATGAATTTAGTAAAAATTTTTTAATAAAAATATAAAAATTAATTTTATTAGCGAAATTTTAATAAATTTTTAAAGAGATTGTACTTATAATATATCTTATAAAACACTTTTTTTTTAATATATATATATATATTATCATTTATCATATAAAGTCATAAACCACGTATCCACGCACAGGCCCACCTAATTTTAGTTTCAGGATGTAAAGTTGAAAACACCTGCAGCTTTCGCAACTAATCCAAAAGTAGCATTTTCCTCAAACAATCTCCACTGATAAGGTCGGTATGGAAAAGGCGAAAGAAACGCGAGGGTTTCGTCAGTGGAGACGGCGGCACGCCCAGGCAATTGTCGAACTCCGGGGGGCCAGTTTCAACTATCCATTTCATAGACCAACTAAAATTTCCATGGTTTTAAAGCATACATAGCATAATAGGAATATACGTACCAATTGAGCGAAGGTCTTGGAATTGGCGGACGGAGTCTTCTTTAATGAACAAAACAAGGGGCTTAGATCTTTTATGAGGCTCTGCGGCGAAAAATAGGGCTTCGAGGAGGCGATTAGCTCTGAGGCGGATGTCGGCGATGAGCCGGGCGGCATGGCTCAGCCTTTCCATTGCCAGCGCCACCTGCTTTGGCGGCGCCTCCCCGGTGGTCGAGGGAGGCGTTGAAACCGCTGCCGGGATCTGGTGTTGCAGTTGGTACTGTATAAGGGTTTCAAATTGGAAACTGAAAGCTAGTTTTTGAGGGATTGCAGATCCTGAGGGAACTGAGATCGGAAGAAAGGAAGGAGATGATTTCCTGCGTCAGAAGGACTGCGGGCGGGTTCGGGTTTGGACTTAGGACACCCTAGCTTAGCTAAGCCGAAGCGTGTGGAAGCTGAGTTAGACTCAAAACTGGGCCAACGGCTAGCTCAAGTTCGATACACCATTTTTGTTTTCTTGCCCAAGCATTTAAGATATTTATGGTTTTTTTGTATAATTATTTAAATATTCTTTAATTAATTTTCTATGTCTATTAACATTTTCTTAATGAATTTTTTTTTTTTATAAATTATATAAAATTTTTAATTAAAATTATTTAAATACCGTTATTGAATCATACACAAATAAAAATTCATTAATTTGAACAGAAATCTTGATATTCCAATTGATAAGATTAGGTGATTTTCCTTAATCCCTTATTATTTTTTTTCATCATATTAAACAAACTTCATGTTCAAAAAAAAAAAAATATTAAACAAACTTCATTTATTCAAACAGCTGGACCATGGACAGAACCATAGCCCACAAAGCAAAGACAAAACCATCTGATGGTCTGTGGGATCCAAGCACACACTGTGGGATCCAAGCACACAGGGAAACCGCCAACAGCAGCGTAGGCTACCAAATTCGCAACACCATTACTAGAACAGAGCACAAAACAAAAACGAAATCTTCCTGCATATGCACTGGATTCTCCTAAGATGAGGAATTAGACCAGCATCCCATAGCAGGGGACTATTACATTCATGACAAAGTTACTTAAAACTCGATAATCAGACTCAAAAATACCGAAATCCAAACCTAAACCAAACAGCAAACTGCATAGCTCTCAACAATTCACTCGATTCCTCAATTAGTGGGGATAATGCTCTTATTCTCCATGACCCACCAGTGCCAGTACAAAGCTTTGAAACCAGTATTGCTAATGGCCACACCAAGCTGGGAAGAAAAAGCGGCATCAGTATTAATTTGAACAAAACCACCATGAGCATGCATGAAATATAACTAGTACAAAATAAACCTTATTCATGGATGGGTGGGTTGCCACTTGGCGCAGGAGGGCTCGGCGGGTCGACTTTATCCAAATTCCAGCTCTTCTCATTTGAGGTTGACGGTGGAGAATAGACATTAACATCTGGTAGTTTGCCAAGCAGCCTGCGGTTACGACGAAGGACATGAACAACGTGGCTACGGGGCTCTGTCTTAGCAGTGAAAGGCTCTGTCTCAGCGGCTGTATTTTCCAGAAAAAGTATCCTGACAATTGGTATTGTCCCGTAATGAGGTGAGCCTTGAGGATCAGGCCTTGCTGCATTTGCTATCAAATTCAATCTAAAAACATCCAAAAGAAAGTCAGGATTCAAAATCTAATATTCTGAATGTGTACAAAAGCAGAGTGTTTTTCTTTTAGGTACCTGATTGTCCTGGCTCGTGTTATGGACCAGTGAATATGACACTTTTGGACGATAGGTAATGGCTGGGAAGGAGGGATTTTGGAGCTAAGGTGAAGAATTGCAGTGGCGGTAAGAACGGGCTTTATGAAATGATCAGAGGATGCCGCGATGAAAAAGTCTTTGGTGGATTGATGAGCATGCAAGGTAACGAAGACAGTAACAGATCGACCCAGATCATGAACATCTAGGGACTCGTACACCTCCTGCATAGTGTGGGCTTCTCCTACTTTAGTCAGAGTCATAATATGTCCCTGGATCCTGAAGTTTATTGATGTTCGTATGCATTTGTATGTTCTCCCTGCAATTTTAAAGAAAAGTTCAACCAGAATTCATCAGCAAACAGAAGGGAATCGAAAGGGGTTCGGTGAGGATAATACATGATCATTGATCACATACCTTTTTCACCGGTGAAGACAAGAGGAAGTGATCTTCCTGAATCAAGCTTTTGCTCTAATGCCTGTATTCATTGAACAATTAGATCCCTGTTTCACTTTGTAAGGCCAAATTAAGGGAATTCAGAACATGCATGGAAGGGTTTTAAGTGCAGATTTTACCTCGTGACCAAGAGTGAATGTGATGAGGAGGAGAAGAAAGAAGAGCCCTGTGACCAAAGCAGTGACTAGCTTTTGGGCCATGGGCATCGTATAAGCGAGAGACCAAAGCAGCTGTGCTATAAGAGGAGAAAGGAAGGATATTTAAAGACCCGAGATCATTTTCTCTCATTCCATTCTCTTCTTTGAGTTCTCTCTTCCTTTTTGGACCGTCATTTTCTCATTCCCTTGTACTTTTTTTGTTTCCCATTTATTCATGAGTTTGTTTTCTCTTTTTTCCTTTTTAGAGCATTAAGTGAAATATATTGTGAAGATTTCTTTGTTCATGCCGGTTTTGGTCTTTTTTAATCTATAAATTCTCCTTGGCCGAAAAAAAAAAATCCATAAATTATCCATTTGAAACTATTACGAAAAATCCATAAATTATCCATTTGAAACTATTACGAAAACTCCAATTAAGTTTTTGTCAAAAAAAGAAAAAAAAAAAAAAGAAGCTTTTACGAAATCAAGAATGAGCTAATTTTTTCACGATCAGAAAATCTTCCGTACAAACCTACTTGACACAGCTCTTCCTCTCTCTCTCTCATTATTTGCCCGCTTGGATGAAAAACAAGTATTTGTGCGGTCCACTTCATCTTTTGTTTGAACAGGAGCTATATCGACTTCTTGATCACTTGACAGTCAAAGGAAACAATACGAGGCTCCATAGGAACACTGACACGTGTAAAGGTTCGTCTTAACACGTCGACTGTAGATCTGCTGAAAATGACAATGCACGGAAAAAGTTCAAAAACGAAGAAGTAAAGCTATATGGCGTGAGGTCTGGCGCAAAAAACAAACAACCACCCACTATCATATCGAGGCTAAAAGAAATTCAGTCAATCATGTCGGGAAGAATCGGGTGTTACCTGAATACAATAAAAACGAAAGTAACTCTAAAATCTTTCTTAATCTATTGAAATTGTTAGGAGTAAATTAAATTGGCTTCAAATAAATTATGGTAGGAAAAAAAAAAAAAAGCAAAACAGTAGAAATGGTAAAGGTAAACTAATTATCACAAGAGAAATAATATTTCTATATAAAAAATCTTAAAAATGGATAGAAATCATGAAATATCCAATCTACAAAAAAAGCTTCACTGTAATAAAAAAAAATACATAATATATTTTTTTAAAAAGCACAAAAATAGTACCAAAAAGAATAACAAGTTATAAACTAATAAAGAAAATGGTCTCACAAAGAAATAAATCATCTAAAAATGAGTTACTATTTTAAGTACAAAATCAAAATCTATAAAATTCTAATCAAAAAATTGATTAATCACACTATAAATTAATATTTTATAAACACTCAAACAAAATTTTAACTCAATCAAATAGTAAATTTTTACGGATCAGACAAAGGATCAGACAAAGGATCAGACAAAGTTATAGAACTATGCACAGTACCAATCTAGGATCAGACAAAGTTATAGAACTATGCACAGTACCAATCTGGTGCCAATCTGCAGAATTCTCTTGTGCTTTCTTTCCCTTTGTGTCGGCTGGTCCACTCACGTGCTCTCCACCACTTTATGCTATCTAAATCAGTCTTCTTTGTCTATCTTAAAAGGCTACAGAAAATCGCTTCAAGTGGGCTTTGACAAGTGTGGACTTAGTCCACAAATATTGGCTATTTAGTCATGCAGGAGGGATAGGCCTAACCCAACAAATCATAGTATCATAGGACCAGAAAGCCGGCTAACAACGGCGCGGCTTTGCTGACAACAATTTCCGGGTCAGTTGCAAACCAAACAGGATGGGAGTATGAGACCGTGTCTATGTGACATGTGAGGCCGAATTAATTTCGTGGTAGTGTGGTACATTTCACTTAGGGATGACAATTTCTTCTGTCACTCGTGAAGTTTTGTGGATTTTCTCGTCATAAGGGTAAACATTTAAAATTTTTTTTTTTTTATGAAACGACGATGGAAGTGTTTTCTTCCTCATGAAATTTTATGAAAAATTTCCTCTATCTCATAGAAAACTGTTAAGGTCCATATAAAATAAATAAATAAATATTTTTAAATATATTAATAATTAATTTTTATTTACTCAACATAATTAATTAACCAATTCATTCTTTTTTTATTTTTTTTAAATCCAATTATATAATTCAATCTAGCTTATAATCTTCTTAAACTTAATTGATCAAATCCAACCCATTTTGCATTATCTTTTTAAACTTAATTGCCCAAACCTAACCCAATTTGCTAGTAACCTTAGAACTATAAGAATTATTTCAAATTTCTAAGATTTGTGAATTTGCTTTGCGATTCCTCATCTCTAGACTCTAGACTCCAGTCTCCTCTTCTCTACGCTGTAGGCTTTGTTTCTGTTCTTCAATTGGTCAATTCCCTTCAACCCATCATTCTCGACAACCTTCGAAAGGTAGTGCCCATAGCTCTGTTTTCATTCTTCAGCTACTTACAATTTGCCTAGGCATGAGTTGTGAGTATTTGAGTATCTGTGCTTGATGATTTATTTTGAGGTGAAGCAGATCTCATTCTTTTGGCCTTATTGTTTCTAATTTCATTTTCTTTCCAATTGTTTGCAAGATTGTCAGAATGCGATTTTTATTGTTTATATATCTGTGCAGCTTTTTTCTTGCATTCGCAGCGAAAGATAATCATATTGTTATTTTGAAACTCATTCAAACTCTTTATTCATTCTATTTTCAGTTAATTTCTCAAACAAGAAGTGAGTATCGAGTTTTATTTGGTAAGGACTCTGAATGCCCACGGAGACCTATTATATTCTTCGGGTATGTAGACAGAAGCTATTTTTTATCTTCTCAAAAATCTCCATAAAAATCCTCGTTCCCATCATTGATGGGGATGGAGATGGGGAGGGGATCCCTGCTCTCGTGGGGACTTGTTGTCATCCCTAATTTCACTTGAGCTCCGTAGTTTTTGTCAAACGCGTTTTCAACATTATCCAAGCGCGCACTTGATATGCCACCCCAAAATGGCATCGTCTACCAACCAAGTTAAAAAGAAATTCAGTCAATGAAATGCTATTTTAGTAGTTTTTGCAATTTATACCCACTGTATATTTTATAATTTAAATTTATTTATTTAAAATTAAAAAATCAAACTAAGATACTATTAATGAAAGGGCACCCAAAGACGAAGCATTTAAGGGTGAAACTAAAAATATCAAAAGAAAAATAATTTTGACCTACACTTTCCTATTTCATCAATGAATATATCGCCACTTTCATTCTTATTCCTATGCCAGTTAATCAACTTGGGTTCTGTTTGGTTACTAAGAAAATTACCGAAGAAGGTTAAGTTGAACCTGGGTATTATTTGGTTATTTTCTTTTGGGTTTTCGAAGGGAAGCGAAAAATAATAATAATAATAGTAAAAGTCAATTTCTGAGTGTCGTTTTTCTTCATTTTTAATTTTGTGGATTTCCCCATCTTTAGGGTTTTGATTGAGGGAAAGGGCGATGAAGCCAAGAAAGCATCAATCATTGATGTATCCAAGAAATCTGCCTCAACGAATGAATTGAATGCATCGCTAAGAGCAGAATCTCCTCTCCCTGGAAAAGTTGTCAATAAGAAGAGAAGCTATGCACAGTTCCATTTAGGTATTGTTTGGATTGGAGGTGTCGGACATGTTCCAACTGTGGGCCCAAGTATGCTGCCGGAAACAAAAGTGATGAACAAAGCCTAAGCACATTTCACAAGAATTACACCCAGAGAATTCAATTCAAGGTAATTACTTGAAAGTAAAGGTGTTTATTTTGTTGATTATAATGCTTCTTTCTTAAATCACTGGTTAATTCTACAGGGATGGCGCAATGAAAGGGTTATTCAAATGCCTAATGGTGAAGGGGGTCGTGTTATTTTGGTGTCAAATTCTGATACTGTTGCTTCGGAGAAATAAGGTTTGCATTTTGTAATTTTGAAGTCAAATTTACTGCCTTTAGCTGTGTAATGTGGTCGATGTTGATGGGGTCCTTTGGGACATGTTGTATTTCCAGGTCCAGGACGTTGTAAACATGATGGAGATTGAGCTTGGGGAGGGATGGATTTTTCATAAGTTCTGTAAGGTAAGCTGATTCTATTAATGTTATTAAAAAGGCAATACAAAGGATGGATGTATGTATGTCTACATAAGTTTCAGATTCAAAGATGTTTCAGAAACTGAAAACTCCTATGTTGTATCCATGGTTGGCTTGAGATGATGACTGTCTTTCTGGTTGTTTTTTATTTTCTTGTCCAACTGTTTGCAGATATATCTGTTTGTCTCCTATAGAGCGTTGTTGGCGGTGTAGTTGCCGAACCCATAGAGGAAGCATTCAGAGTCGTGTCATGCTGGGTCAGTGAAAGATGTAATGGAGCTGAAGGAAAGAAAAGAAGATCAAGCTCAACCACACACCAGTTCGGAAACATAATCTTGCAAAGGGAAGTTGACAAAAGAGCTCCTGGTAATTGCTCTCAATTACCTGATGGTAACCACCATGCAGCAATTATATGTGAGGAAGATACTGTACCTGCTGTTTGCGGTGTTAGAGCAATCTGGGTCACTCCCACCAACAGTAGAAGAGACACAACTTAAAGAATCAATCAATGATGTACTTAAGAAATCTGCCTCAACGAATGAATTGAATGCATTGCTAAGAGTAGAATCTCCTCTCCCTGGAAAAGTTCTCAATAAGAGAAGCTATGCACGGTTCCATTTGGAGCTAGGCCAATTTGATTTTCTTCTTCACACATGTTCCTCCCGTGGGCACAAGTATGCTGCCGGGGATGAAAGTGATGACAAAAACCATAGCATATGTCACAAGAATTACACCCATGGAATTCAATTCAAGGTAATCACTTGAAGCTGAAGGTGTTTAATTTGTTTATAATGTTTCGTTCTTATATCAGTAATCACCGGTTAAACTCTACAGGGATGGTGCGATGAAAGGGTTATTCACATGCCTAATGGTGAAGGGGATCGTGTTATTTTGGTGTCGGACTCTGATCCTGTTGCTCAGAGGAATAAGGTTTGCATTTTGTATTTTTGAAGTCAAATTTACTGGCTTTAGCTGTATAATGTAGTTGATGCTGATGGGGTTTTTCAGGATATGTTGTATTTCCAGGTCCCGAAGGTTGTAAACATGATGGAGATTGTGCTTGGGGAAGGATAAATTTTTCATAAGTTCTGCAAGGTAAGCTGATTCTATTAATGTTATTAACAAGCCAAGGATGGATGTATGTATGTCTACATGTTAGAAAATTTTTAAATTTGGCACTTCTCCAAACATGTTAGAACATCTGAAAGTGATTTGTAGTTATTAGGCTCATCTTGGTTACTTCCTCCTGGTGCTTGGGCACCACATTGCTTCTTTGATGCTGGTTCAGTAATTCCATTACGGTGAGGAAAAAACTACCTCTTCTGATCTGTGAAGGCCTTGAGCGCAAGCCTGCAGCATTTATACGTAAGAACAAATTTGTGCCTTCAAGAAGGCTTCCAATTTTCCAAAGTTCAGAATTACATAATCCCTGTCCCTAGCCAGTAAGAACACATGATGTACAAAGAAAAATTATCATTTAATTAAGTTTTGAAAAAAAGAAAAAGGAAAAGTTCTGCATATATTTGATCCTACTCCAAAAGACTAGTATAGCCATGAGTCTCGAGCAATACAAAGTAAGTCATAAAATGGCTGTTATAAGCATTCTAGAAATCATTTTTATCCACTCAACACAAATCCTACACAAGTGACTAAGTAGCACAAGACTGATAGTACTGCTTGGTACCAATTCTTTTGATCTTTTCTGCTCATTGGTTCCACATTAGGCCAATGTAAGCCAAGGAAGGAAATGAAACAAATGGTTCCAGAAGTCTATAAGATTTTTCAAATCATTCAAAGTTTAAACCCTTCTAAAACAACTTGGACCTCCAACTGCATCTTTGTGCAGTTCTATTTAGTAGTAAATAGAGCTTAAATTTTCAATTAATATTCACGTTTAATCAATAAACACACCCATTTCAATCTCTAACTCAGAACTCCCAAGAAATTTTGTATACTCCCAGCAGTTAATGAAAAAAATATTGAATGACGAGCCTTATACACACGAATTCAATATTATATTCCCAGAAAAAGCCTAACTGGAAGCTATCCTTTTTCATCTAAACTTGCAACCAACCAATATCATCAGGCAAATTTCTAAAAATGCAATTTCCTATAGCAGATGCTTCAGAATTAACATCTATAAATAGTATCCGTGTATGCTAATGGCTATGAACCTGGTCCTGTCAACAGCAGATGCACCAGCCTGCCCTGCAAGCTGCCTCTTTCATGCATAACCAACCGCTGCACCATCAGGACACACAAGCGGCATATGCAACCCCCAAGAATTACTTCTCGACTTTAGGGATTCATTTAGCATTCCCGATTCGTCCAGCTGCTTTCCTAAATAAATTGTTCAGAATCTATC